TTATCAAATCTGGAATATACCAAACTCACATTCCAGTTATGAGAAAATAAAAACAAGGCTGGAAAAAATATCCAGAATAGGTTTAGATCACTGAGGTTCTCCCTTCAGTTTTCGTTCTGACACATCTTTGGCGGCTCTGTGCCTCAGTCCCTTCTCTTGTACATCACAGGTTTTAATGCTTCTTTCCTGAGATTGTAGCTGAGATGGAATGGGGTTGTAGAAGTGGGAGGGTTTCGAAATGTTGAAATGTTGGAAGTATGATTATGTCTGTTGTGTTTCTATTGACCCAAGACAACTCAAATGAGGGCCAGATGGACAGGTCAGGTGTGTGTACATGGCAGGTAGGGGTTGGGAGAGAGACTTGATGTCCATGGGTAGCCACTGGAAATCTAACTCAAAAAATGGCTCTACAGTTGTGTATTTAGGTATTGATGACAATACGCATCATAAAGGGGGCAAATCATAAAGCAGACTCTTAACCTCCAGAGAACCAATGGTTACCAATGGTTACCAGAGGAGATGTGGGCGGGGGCATGGGTTCAGTGGGTGATGGGTAATAGGAAGGCCCTTGTTGTGACGAGCACTGGGCGTTGCATGGAAGGGATGAATCATTGGATTCTACACCTGAAACTAATACTACACTGCATGATGACTGACTGGAATTTAAATGAGAACTTGAGGAAAAAAATAAAAAGAAAGCTTTTTTGAAGAGCTAAGTTTAGAATTCATGAAAAAGTCTTGGGATCATTATATTAAAACACAAAACCATGGCAAGAGGTAGAGTGACATTATTCTCTTAACTATTAAGTGTTGACTATAAATGTTTTAACCTCTAAACATATGTTTAGAAAGTTTCCTTAACTCCCATTTCATTTAAACCGACTGATAAATTTTTAAATCTAGCCTCGTCCTTGTTTTATTATTCAATTAATAATCCAAACAACGTTTCACCACACTTGATGTGAATTTCAACGTGAGGGATTTTAGCACTTTTTTCATAATCTGGAAACAAATTAGTAAGTTTAATTAGCATCAGAAGAATTTGGGGCTCCTGGGTGGCTCAGCTGTTAAGTGGCTGCCTTTGGCTCAGGTCATGGTCCCAGGGTCCTAGGATGGAGCCCCATGGGCTCCCTGCTCAGTGGGAAGCATGCTTCTCCTTCTCCCACTCCCCCTGCTAGTGTTCCCTCTCTCGCTATGTCTCTCTCTGTCAAATAAATAAATAAAATCTTTAAAAAAAAAAAAAATAAGAATGCCTTCTTTCTTCTCTTTGTCAGGAACTTGAAAACAGTAAGTATAGTGTAAGTAAAACTGTGGGAGTCTTGAATCTCATTTCTTCTGGCCAAAGAAACCTCACCAGGGAACATTTTATACTGAAACCACTAATTTCCTTATTTAAGATATATTTTTAATTTCAAATTTTTCTTTTGAGAGACTTTCATCTTTGGTTTTTATATACACATAATAAACACACAGAACTGTCTACCTACTCTATATCTTTCCAGTATGTCTAAGGCACTGAGAAAAAAAAAAAAGCACGGGGAGATACCACATAGTTGAGGTGGAGGGGAGGGTGAGGCAAAGGAGAGATTCTAAGGTAGAGGCACAAATCAGGACAGCACCGGAGGAAGTCCTGCCCACTTCCTAGGAGAGAGGGCCCAATTTGCTCCTGAATTTTTCCATCAGGCCGCACAAAGAAAGAAATTTGATCAGGTCCGTGAGTCATGGTGTTCATAAAATGAGAGCAGAACAACCTCCCTGGCAGAAAGCTGTGTTCAGTTTCTGAAATTGCTCACTTCGGTTGAATATTCTCACCTCAAGTTGGGCAAGAGCCTGGACTAAGTGATTTTTTGGAAGGAACCAGCAAAGTTATCTTTCCTCTACAGTCTGTGAGACTCTGTGCATGTGTAAGTAGAAATCCAGACAGCTTGAAGTTTAATGGCCCTCTCTAATTACAGTTTTGACATTGACAGACAGCGGATAAAACTACCTCTTCAGTTACATGAGGGGAGATTTAAAAACTACTAGTAAACAATAGGTATAGGAAAAAAGGGGAATTAAAAAATATTTAAAGGCACTGAGAGCTAAAAGTGTAGAAATTCAGACCGTACCTTAGCCCACACCACGGTAGAAAATTTAATATTCCGAAAAATTTAACCAGTTGGAGGCTGGGAATGGAGCAATCTCCAAGAATACCACTAGTTTTGGCTTCAGCCTACTTTGTGTAGTAAGTAGTCAGGGGTTTATGTCCAGGGTCCCAGCTCTGCCTTCAGGAGAATGACTCCGGGGCAGCCATATCTCTCTTCTTGCAAGATGAGCGGGAACCAAAATAAGTGGTTGCAAGAAGGGAGGCAGGAGCCCCTGGCCACGTGACCACACTCATTCTAATCACAGCAGCTGTCAGCCCCTCACCTGAAAAGCATCTCGGGTAGAATGCATTTTCAGGGGCTAACGGCAGGCGGTAAACTTCACCACCAGATGGCAGGAGAGCACTCTGTATAAAAAGAACTGCCATGGGCACTTTTTCTTTATTTTCCACCCACTGAACTCTCCACTAGGTGGCAGCAACATGAATATAATTGGAATAGCCATTAATGGGTTATGTAAAAAACAATTTCAATTCTCTTAAATCTGCGAGCAGCACTTTAAAAAAGTATCCACCTTTGGAATGTTTTTCTCTAGGAAATTACCAGACTCTTTGCTTTTACGGCTCCAACACACTTACCTAATATCCAAAAGCAAAACAAAGCACAACAAAACAAAACAACAGAACAAAACTTTTTGGGCGCTGCACCTTTGAAAGAGCCTGGGAAAGAATATGCTTTGACACCATTATTGTTGAAGAATTAGTGGAGCCCAGACTTTCTTACCCCAATTTAGAAAAGAAATCAGTGATTAAAAGAGTCACTTTTTTGAAGATAATAATATATATCATTTATTGGCTACCTATAGTGTGCCAAGGATTGTATTTAAATACTTTAAAAACATTGATTCACTGAATCTGGATCAGAGGTTTTTTTCAAAAGCCCAGATTTGAACTTGAGCCTGCTTAGGGCCGTCACCTCCGTATTTTCCATGACCTTATTGTGCTTTTTCTGCTAGAGCCATTTTCAAAACCCATACTGAAGGAGAGGTTGGAAAGGCTTTCACAGTATGATTTTGAGTGCACACGGGGATGTATTCACTCAGCTTATGACTTTCCCTTTCGTGTAGATGTATAACATTATTCCAATGAGGGATAATAATATATTTTGATCCTACAGTTAGACTGAAGGCGAAAAGTGAAGGTTGGTTTGGGAGCAATAGCAAAGTAATAAACACATTCATGCTGAAACATAAATAAGTGTTAGCATCATGGAAGAGAGCAGAGGAGGACTGGAGAGAACAGGGGGTTCCCAGGTGCTTGACTAGGCAGAAGAGAAAGGTAAGGCGGTGGGGGACAGGGCACCAGGAGATGAGGGGGGCAGATTGGCACACTTATGTGGTTATCCCCGTGGAGTGAGTGCCCTTACAGAGTCTTACCTGTATGTGGCCCCAGAGAGCTGGGTGTAACCTCGTGCAGCACAAATGATTTCCATGAGGAGCAGGGACCTGAGTATAGTTTGAATCCCTTAGAGGCAAATGCTGGGCACTCAAGCTTTGAAAATAGAGTTAATACCAAGCGGTTGTCTGCCAGGCATCCACAATGAGTGGGTCTGCCCTCGGGAGTCCCCAGGACCTTCATCTCTCCTTAATTCAGTTCTATATTGGGCTAAAACCTATTACAGATGAGAGGAGGAACAAGAAGTTAAACTCTACAAATATGGCTAAGACAATTGTGCACGATGAATTTCTTGTATCGTAAAGCTGCACTTTTGTGTTCTTTTTTTCAAGTATCTTTAAGAGAGGTAGAATGATGCGGTAATCCCAAAGGCTGACTAATGGGAAGAAGAGGAAGTTCCTTTTCCACTTTATGCACTAAACTGTCTGGGGGATGGGGGAGTCAGGGTCCGGTGTTCTAGAACAAAGAGAAGGCAGGTGACTTGATTCTCCATCTGTGACCAACATCACATCCCTAGCTATCGCGGCAGGCAATGGCAGGTGGCCTCAGGGTGCCAATAAGCTTAGCACATATTTGTAGCAAGAACCATCCTCATCTAGGCAACTGTGTACTAGGAGCCCCATGTTGTTCTTACCTGTCTCTTACTTAGCCTTTAGACGAGTCCTACCAGGGAGCTGATTCTATCCTTTCTCAGAAACAGTAACTTGCTCAGGGTCCAACAGTTAGCAAAAGACACAGTTAGGATTCAGATGCTACTCCCTTAGCTGTTTTTCCTGTGCTTTTCTAGGGCCTTTTCTGAGACCATATGGGTGGTGATACATACTTCCTGAGAGCCACCAGGGCTCACACTAGCCAACGTGGATCAATCAGTAAGTCCAACTGGCTGTAAATGTAATTAATTATAGAACGAGGGCCCGTTCCAGTTTAGGTGTACTGAAATTGCTACATCAAACGGAGGCATTTATAAAGCAATCCTGAGAAAATGAGAATCGGTTTGAATAAAGCCCCCAACACACCTTTCCTGGCTTAAATCGGAATAAGAGCAGATAAAACAGCATGAACTCAGCCCAACAGTCAGCACAACCAGTTTCCATCTGCACACCTGGGGCAGCCAAAAAAATGCTTTGCTCAACTTTCTTAGGGACCATGGCGGGAGGGACAGGGCACAGAGGTCTGCCGACAATTGTTGGTGCTGTTTTGTTCTCTATCCTGTATTTCATTTTGGTTGTTATAGCGGCTTTTCTGTGATTTTGATCCCCAGAATTCCTGGTCACCCCAGAATTCCTACCAAGGTTTCTAGAACAAAACAGAGAAAGCCAGCATATCTCAGGTAACATTTGCCTTCTGCAAGACAATGACACTTAGCTGAACATTCCATAGTACATTCATACCACGTGAGCGTGTTTTTCTGCAAATGTTTATTTAGAAAGATTTTTAAGAAATTTCAAGCCACTGTATCTGCGGCAGTTTTCTTTAGGTGAAAAATGTGCAAACAGTCACTATGAAAACCAAGATGCAGGCAACAAGGAACAAAATCAGACCTATACGACAGTATTTTGAATGCTTTTCTTGTTCCTCTTCCTTTTTCAATAAGGTATCAAAACCAGGTGTGTACATGTCTCCCAACCAAAACCGCAGGTCATTAGGATTTTCCTAAAAAGAAAACAAAAATTACGTAGGAGAATAGGATCAATCAGTAACCAGTGTTACAGACTTACTGACACTGCAGAACTGCTGATTTTTCATCAGCAACGGCTTGCAGCTGAGGTGCCCACCCTCTCTCTGCCTCTCTAGTCTCAGTGAACTTTAAGCCAGCTTTGGGGGTCAGTAGCACCCTGCTAGGTGCAAAACGGGCACACACACAGGGAGCTGGGCAAATGCTGGTGATGGCAAAATAATTCCTCCACCGTGCTGCTACCATTTCAATTTCCTGGTCTTAAAAAGCTAGTGAAATAAAATTTGGATGGGCTATGCAGAAGGATAGATAATCTTGCAATCCTTGTCTGCTTGACTTGTATCCTTCACATACTTTGTGTCCTCATCAAAGTCAAGTCTAATGCCTACAATCCTTAGGAAGAACTTCCGTAATTCCAGACTCCTCTTACATTCTGCTCCTAATTAGACCTGGTAACTAAATGTGGGGCTTCTTTTCTCCTTTCTTATTTATAATTTAGAAAAATGTTATTGGCCAAAGGCACTTGGAGGTTTTACAGCCCGTAAGAGGTGAAAAAATTTCAGAAAATAAGTTAGGGGCTCTGTCTGCTGGTTATGAGATGCACAGGAATGGTGAGGAAAGAAGTTGAATTTATCAAGTATAGAAAGAAATTCTAATGAAAACTAAAGCTATGACTTTCAGAAGCATCCCTCAAAAGAGTGCTCATGAGGTCTGCAAAGGCTTTGAGGGAAACTCTATGTGTGGCAGATGGGTGGGGAGGGGACAGTCCCCAGGTTCAGTGAAGCAATGCACCCATCATATCTATATTTGCTCTTCTGCAACAGAGCTCATGGAATTTGCCAACAGAAATATTACTCATTGCCAATGATGTTCAATCTCCTTAGCCTACATCCAAACACTTTTTAAGTGTTTTTGAGCCTTATTTTCCTGTTATTCTATTAGTTAAATTGTAGTGACAATGACACTGCACTATTTATTGTTCTGACAATCTCTCTTACTTTCTGGAATTTGTGCTTTTTTTCTTGCTACTCCAGACGGGAGAGTCTCCCCGCTCATGCCAACCATCCATATCTTTTGGAATTCTATGCATCCTTCCAGGCCAGCATAAATTAACTTTTTTCGTGATGTCTTTTTATAATCCAGTGTGATTTTGTCCTCCTTTTAAGTCTGCACAGCCCTTTCTATTATTATTACAACATTATCCTCTTCTTTTATTTTGTTCTATAATTATGGTTTTGTTACTCTGGTCAGTTAGATGAACTTTTTGATGCAGGTACAGTAATACTCATCTTCATAACCCTTTTGCCATTCAGGTAAACAATAAAGAGTAGAGATGAGCCTCTGTCACATGGTCAAGAAATATTTATGAAATAGAATAATACATGCTTTCCTAATTGTAGAAAGTGACTTTTTAAGCAATCTAAGTGTCCATCAAAAGATGAATGGATAAAGATGTGATATATAATGAGATATTATTCAGCCATAAAAAGAAATGAAATCTTGCCATTGACAAAGACATGGATGGAGCTAGAGAGTAATTTAATGCTAAGCAAAATAAGTCAGAGAAAGACAAATACCATATGATTCCACTCATGTGGAAATGAGCAAAGGAAAGAAAGCAAAGGAGCAAAGGAAAGAGAGAGAGAGAGAGAGAGAGAAAGAGCGAGAGGGAGAGAGAGAGAGAGAGAAGCCAAGAAACAGACTCTTAACTAACTATAGAGAGAACAGAGGGAAGGGGGCTGGGGAATGTGAAAGCCAGATAGATTAAGGAGCACCCTTTTCATGATGAGCCCTGGGTGAATTGTTGAATCACTATATTGTGCACCTGAAACTAATACAACACTGTACTTTAACCACATTGGAATTAAAATAAAAACTTAATTAAAAAAAAAAAAGAAAGAAAAAGAAAAAAAAAAAACCTAACTAATTTCTTAGAGGACCTGACCTTCAGACTCGTGATAAGAACAAAACAAAACAAAACCAAAAAAACCCCACAAGATTACTGTTGCTATGGGGGAGCATCTGTTATGGAAACTTCTTTGGAAAAGAGGCTACATTAAGGAGAAGATATATTCAATCTACTAGAAGATTAAAAAGCCTCAAAGACTCTGGACAAGATATTTCAAGAGTGCACATTCGGGATATTTAAAAATATCAGATTTTAAGGGGACACAATATTGTGTCCCTTGCGACAGAAAAAACTCTTCAGGTGCTTAACGTATGGGACTCAGAGCAGATACACCTTAAATGAAGTGTATGTGGAAAAAGTCAGGCCTCCCTGACCTCAGGGCAGGCAGAGGCAAGCCAAAGCTGGGGAGGAATCTGGTCCACTCAGAAAACAGAGGGCCATTCTCCTTGCTTTGCAGGTATTTCTAGATCTTCTATGTGATAGATGACACCAGGGGGAAAAAAAGAAAACAAAGGAAAACTGAAGTTGGGTTTAAGCTGGGTGAATGAGTTCATTGCATACTTTTGCTGTGTTGAAATGTTTTTGTTTTGTTTTGTTACTGAGACACAGGAAAACGTCCAAAATGTAAATCTGTAATCTTAAATCACTGAGTGGGCTTGGAATACCATGACCCTTGATGAGAACTGCTTTGCCCCATGCCTAAGAGCATCGAATAGTTTTGAATCAATGTAGGTGAGGGAATTCTTGAGTCTTCATGAAATAAATGGTCACAAAACTAGGGGAAAACATAATAATCTGGTAAATCAATTTTCAAAAACCTTTAACCTTCTAGGTAAATCTTTCTGTGTCACATCATTTCTTTCTCTCTACACCAGAGAGATGCCAGTAATTGCTGACATAGTAAAACTAAGAACAAATCCATAGGAGAGAGAAAGGGATTCCAGGAGCCAAAAGGACAACTCTAGAGATCTGGGTCTAGTGAAGAGTGCTTGTCACCTTAATACTCAAGTTTTTTTTTTTTTTTTAAAGGAATATTTGACAGAACTTCTTCATCAGTTGAAGGAAGTGATTCTTTGGTTTGAGTACCTTCAGATGCCCAGAAAGGTTTGTGTGCAGGGAATGCCTGTCATATTCCTCAACCGTCCACGAGGGATGCTTTTTTCTTTCTTCCATGGCTTCCTCCAAACTTAGGTCACCATAGAGTGGGTTATTCTTCAGAACTGATGACAAGGATGGTGGGGGATGGTCCACAGCAGCAATGCCCTCTGGCCCGGATCTCCTCATTCGCTGAGCAGGAATGGTCTTCTTTTCTCTCTGTTAGGAGACACAGTGACAAGTCTTCTCTTACCAATGGGCCATGGGCAGCAGAGGATGAAATGCGAAATAATGGCCCCTGAAAATCTGCTGATTCTGCCTGGAAACCCAACAGATGAGGATAATGAATGAGGAAAGGATCCTAGGATCTAGTCTGACCTAGAATCCCGCCATTAATTGAGTGTTTTTCTTTGCATGTGATCTTGTTCAGCTTCAGTGATCATTCATTCAAATGCTCTTTTATAACTACAGAGAAAGAACATTGTTCTTTAATTCAAATAGCAGAATTCTGAACAAAGCCAGTTTTTTTCCAGCTCACTTGCATTGAGATTTAATGACATTTTACTTCTATTTGTGCATTGCATGACTGATAAAAATAATATTTAATGTTGCTGTATTAATCCAGCAAAGTCAAGATTAAAAGGCATTTTATAGATATGCCTTGGCTTTCACAAAAACTCTCTCGGGACTCCTATTTCAGACAGCTTGGAGGACAGAACAGCATCGTACTCCTTTATGTGTCTACACACCAGCAGGCTAGTAGATGGCTCTAATATTGACTTTCAGATTTTTAAAATCTTTTTTTACTGAAGCCAAATTTACATGTAGAAAAGTACACACACATATATATAGCTCAATAAGAAAGAGGACATTACCGGCATACATCCTGTTCCCTTCCAAAACCCTTTCCCTCTCCCTGCCCAAGGGCAACCAGTATCTCAAATTTAACAGCGTAGGGTAGTTGTGTTTTTCCTGTGTCTGATTTGACCTTCAGGGTTTTATTTTGGTTGTTTTTGTTTGTTTGTTTTTGTTTTTGTGACTATAAAATTACTATGGAAGTAGAAAAATCTAGCTTTAAAATGTGTTCATAGGCTGAATAAAATTAAGAAGAAACAAAAACCTTATAGATTAATGCCTCAGTTATCATGGGGCATCAAGGGAAAGAATTCCACATAAGTTAATTTTCAGAAAACAGACTTAACCCTAATGGTGACACATTTCATGAATTTACAGCAATTTTTCAACACATGTTTCAATAATATTCAATAATATTCAATGCACGTGCTTCAATTAATATTCCTCTGAGTCATATTTATGAACATCAAGACACTGATTTGCTCAGCTCATAATGGGGTATATAGGTCACATTAAATATGTATTTAAGTAAGCTAGGTTGTGAACTAATACTACATACAGTTTCCTTCTGAAATGGTTGATAAACCAAAAAAAAAAAAAAAAAGCATCTAGATAAAACCATTCACATTCTCTTTGACCTTAGGTTTCCCTAATTTTCTTAACCTATTTTTTACATACTTAGAGGTCAAGTTGGAGATCTTCTCTGAATTTATTAGGTTGGTGGTCTGCTTAAAATCAATTTATATTCTTCAATACTGCAATTTGCAATGAAATAATACATCATCTTGACCTAGCATTTGTCTTTAAGATGGATAGCCTCATAAAAATGTTTCTGAATTGAGAAAAAACAATTTGATATGAAATTTGGATCATTTCAGCTTAGCATAATTCTGACCCAAGGTTTTTCTTCAAGGCTAGACATCTTTGATCATCTTTGAGAGGGATAATTCTTCAGACATTGACAAATTTGCTTTGTCAGTTTTCTTGCCTGCTAGACCATTCCTTGAGCTTCTTAAATAAGAAAGCTCTATAAATGAGGAAAATACAGTTTTGGGGGTCAGGAAAAAAATAACAGAATCTATTAGAATGTATAAAGACTTTGAAAAACTAAAAGGTATAAGATAACAAAATAATTTTAATAACTAATAATTCAGAGCTATAGTCTAAAAAGAATATTCAAGCCCTTAATTCTAAACCACATTGTTGAAAGTCTGAGTTTATCCTACTATATGATGCCATTTATGTTTTGTGTTGCATGACAATTTCATGTCTGAAGGACATGTGAAGAGAAAATTAATAGAATATCTTTGCTAAGGATCTGATGACAGGATAAGAAACAAGCTTCATTTATATTTTGGTAATATTTTTCAAATACCTTAAGAAAGAAAAAAAGCATGTACTTGAGTCTAACTCTTGATACGACATTCTGGATAGATCACATTTACCAAAGAAAAACTAAAAAAAAAATTCTATTATTTTAGTCATATAAACTCTAAAATAACTTGTATTTTAAAATATTTAAGGAAAGTAACACTTTAAAGTTTACCTAGACTTTTCTGTGTTCACTGTTACCTTGTCCATTTATCTTTAATATCTTTTAGTCATTATTTATGTCATTTACATACAAGTAAACTATCATTCAGTAAAAGGAGTGAATTAGAATGCATATTGAGACAAACAAAAATTTAGACTACAGAATTAACAAGCCAATAAAGAAAAAACCTCTAAAAAAATGTACTTCAGGAAAAAAAAAACTTAATAATAAAAGTAAAGATTAATATGCAAAAAGAAATGCTGAGCAAAAGAAAAGAAAAGAAACAAGAAAATTGATAAATCTTATTTATCTTAGATAAATCTATCTAACCAAGTATGGATTTTATGGTAAAATAGAGATAATAATTACTAATTTGTGAGTTTTTAAATAAGGGACAATTAAATCACTGGACTGTAAAATTGACAGAGATATTTTTGATTAGAACATTTTAAGAAATCATATCAAAGTATAGAAATTTTACTAAAAATAGAGAAAGAATATATAGTTTCTAAATCAGTAAAACAATAGAAAAAAATAAAGGAAACTTGATCTTAAGACAATAAAACTAGAAGCAAAGAATAGGGGGAACCTCGGGAAAACAGAAAAATTTTAGAAATCATCATGTTAAATGTAAATAGACTAAACCTTCTATTTTAATGACAGAGATTGTCAGATGAGATTTTTAAAATTCAATTATGTAATATTTACAAGAAGAATACCTAAAATATAAGCTCTCAAAGAATGAGAATGAAAGAACATGAGAAGATATACTGGCAAATAGAGAGAAATGAGAGCTCTGTATTGTGGTGATTGGTTAGATGCTTATGAATTTCATTCTCCCTTCCTGAGCATAAAGGATGACTGGTTTTCCCAGTCTGGCTTGAAGTTACAATGGGGCCAGCTCTTTCCTAGTTGATGATGTATGGATAAAAGTAACAGAAACCACCATGGAACCTGGTCCCTGAAATGTCCCATAGTGTTTTAGGCTCACTTTCCTCATTTCCATTTTTGTGTCACTATGAAGCAAGGGTTCTGTGATGGCAGAACTACAGGATGAAAGAACTTGATGCTCAGGGTTACTTCTTGGAAAAGAGCTGCTCCTAAAATCCACTTGCCTTTGTCAGACTTTTCATGAGCAAGCAATTTATTTTATTTTGGAGTGCCTGGTGTGGCTCAGTCAATTAAGTGTCCAACTCTTGATTTTGGCTCAGGTCATGAACTCAGGGTCCTGGGATTGAGCCCAGCGTCAGACTGTGAGCCCAGCAGGGAGTGTGCTTAAAGATTCTCTCTCTCCCTCTGCCCCTCCCACTGCATGCACACACTCTCTCTAATAAATAAATGGATCTTTAAAAAAATATTTTGTTTTCAATTAGTGATATTTTATGAGGATATGTGCCATCACAGCATAGCCTGCCTTATCCTCTCTAATACAAAAAGTAGTATATCTTAAAATTCCAAATATGGGATGAAAAAATCATGAGCAGCTGGAATGGTGGTTATTAATATCTTATAAGGAAAAAAAAATTGGCATACATGTCATCTGTCATATTTGGGAACCCAATCACCTGTAGCTCTAGAAGAGATTCTTATAAATAATCAGAACATTTACATATATATAATGACATTACAATTATCAGAACATTAATATGATACAAGAAAGAGATGAGATTAGAGATTAGAGAAAGAACCAGACAGTAGGAAAAAAGAAATGAAAGAGAGTAGAGAGGACCTAGAAATTCAATGCCTACTATCTTCCTACTGTTGAAAATCTAGTTGTAGACCCCAACACTAAAACACAGAATTAATTAAAAAAAAGAAAGCATTGAGCAAAATATGCCTATTGCAATTTCTCAATCAAATAAAGTGACTCAAGAAAAGGATCACGTTAGGCTGTGCTTTCATAACTCTTATCCTTGAGAGATTCTACGTGGTTGTCACTGACCCTAAAAATACAGAAATGGAGGCAAAAAACCAAGGTATTAAAGCCTATTGGAGAGTTATGCCTTCAAAGAACTTTGGGTGTGTTCACTAACATAAAAAATTGACTGTAAGTAGTCAGTCAGGTCAGATAAGATTACATTAATAAATAATTTCCTAAATTCTGTAAGAAATATATGACCAAAGAAATCACATGCCTATACCTAAAAGCTTTTGAATGTTTAGAATTAACCACAAAACAAAACAAAAGAAAGCAGTGATAATAATCCTAGATTTCTAAATTTCCTTGAGTGGGAGTAAACTTTGAAGCCTCTTCTTGAAGAAGGGTCTACTTCTGATGTGGCAAAAGAGAACAGTGAACAAGGGGATGCTTCCTAGAGGGTGGAATCAAGGACTATATAGAACAGTGCCTCAGAAGTTATTCTAAAAAGCAGAACTGTGGCCTAATCAATTGTCCACACCTTCAAGAAAGGAGTCCACATAAACTATTCCCATGAGACCTCAGAATTACTTTGGAAGAATGACTCCCATGTTTCTATTTTATTTATTGATCTATTTATTTTATCTATTATTTATTAAAGGTTTTATTTATTTGTTTTTGTGTGTGAGAGAGAGAGAGCTGACAAGTGTGGGGGGAGGGACAGAAGGAGAAACAGACTCCCTGCTGAGCAGGGAGCCCAACATGGGACTTGATCCTAGGACCCTGGAATCATGTTCTGAGCCAAAGGCAGACACTTAACTGACTGAACCACCCAGGAGCCTGTGACTGCCATGCCTTTAATTTTTCCCATTCAGAAAGGAAGACTTTATAGATACAAAATAAATATTTATATATAATATATAATAATATTATTATAATCATATATTTATATAATATAAAATATATATTTAT